ATTTAAAAACATATCTTTATGAATTTCATTGTTAAGTTGCAAACGTTGAGTAGCATTCAATGATATATTTAAACCAACTAAAAGTTCCCTATCACCTTTTGGTAACTCGTTATGTCGACTAATATAAAATAATGAATAATATCTTTCAAGTCCTTTCGTATTTACCTAGTATTATTTATTTGTATATGTGTCGTGTTATATGTATTATTTATTTTACTCAAAATCTCTAGTATCTATTATTCAAAATCAAAATGTTTATGAATTAAATATTCTATTATATTATGTATCATACTTCGATTTCAAGATATGATTCAATAGAATCAAGTCTTTTCATTTGTTTCACACTCAAGGAAAGTAAGAACCATGTCGGTACTAAAAGTAATAAATATAGTAATATGATTTTTAATAAAAAAAACCGTAATGTTACTACATGTTGAAATACACTTTTCACCAGTATAATTCACAAATGGATGGCCAGGACATTGGCATGTTTGGTTGGTTACATCCGAGGAAAGAACAAAACTAAATAATATTGAAAATGGACATGTACATCGACCAGTAGTTGAACTACATAAAGCGGGAGACAAACATTGATTTTCACAATCTGATGAATAGTTTGTTGGTATACAAGAGTAATTTGTGTTTAGGATATCTACATATGTTTGAGTTTTATCACCTTAAAATATTATTTTATTTATTTGAGATATTTATTTTTATGATTTTATAAACATACCGTCTACTGAATAACCATAGCTACATCGACATTCATAGGAGCCTTCAATGTTAGCACAATATGTGTTATTATAATTGGCACAACTTGTTAAATTCATACATTCATTGATATCAACACATGAGCCATTAATATACTATACAACAAAATCTATTAACTGTTGAAATTTTTGAACTGTAATTTTTTTACAGACCTGATAACCATCTTTACAATTACAATCATAACTTCCCATAGTATTATTACAATTTGAACGTTCTGAATTACAATTATCTACCTTACTTGCACATTCGTCGATATCTGTATATATAAATAAACTGAATCATCAATAATTGAACCTCATTTTATTGATATCTCATACCTATACAATTGCGAGTTGCGTTATTTTTTTCATAACCATGTTTACAAGTACAAATAGCAGTACCATAATTTGGATCTGTTGTACAATCTTCTGTAACATTATTACATGAATTATTATTTGCTGACAAGAAGAAAAAAACATTTCCTTCATAATCAAAGAATCAATTGACAAATGAAATATTCCTACCACATTGATCAATAAGTTTATCACAAAATTGTCCCTGATGTATGGAATCACAACTACAGCTTCCATTCACATTTGTTGCATTTTGATTACATGTTCCATGGATACATTGACATGATTCATTACAACCATAACCGTAATTTCGATCACCACATTCTTGAAGTAAATAGATATCATGAATATAGAATATTTGGAATATCAAATGCGTATATCTTACGGAGACATCCCATGATAATATCGGAATATTCAAAACCTGAATATTTCATACAACTACATTGATAAGAATTATTTATTGGTTCACAAAATCCAGAACATGTTAGCTCACACCAATTCAAAATTGCTATTCATTTCGATCATTTATATCTATTAAAATATCTATTCTATTGAATCTACTTACAAATGCAACGGCCATTTATTTTGACAGCATTATTTATGCATAAGACTGTGCCATTACTGTCGATGCAGGTATTATTATCAGTGAAATTACAGAGAGTTGAATTATCTAAGAAAATGAATATTTATCAATAGAATTGATTCGTATTCATAATTTTCAATTATACATACAAATACAAGTTCCAGTAGTGTTAAAAATAGGACTGCATTCACATCTATAATCTCCAGATGTATTTATACAAACTTCACCATCAATACATCGACGAAGAAAGGTACCATTGCTATCTGGTTCGGTACATTCATCAATATCTTTAGAGAATAGAAAAGGGAACATATTTCTTTGAGTTTTTATTGAGGAAAACTTACCAATACATGTTTGATGATCTAGTCGATAACCAGATGTACAGTTACAGGTATATGATCCAATAAGATTAATACATTTACCATCTTCACATAAAGATAAATTTGAATTACATTCATCGAAATCTGAAATTAGATTTCATTACATAAAAATCTTTTAGTTTTAATAAATTCTTACCATCACATGTAAAATTATTAACTGAAATATATCCATCCACACATCTTCCTACACAATAGTAGGAACGGCTTTCCGTTAATTGTTGGGTAGCATTTAATGAAACACATGTTGTTTCATTATTCCAGTTAACATTACAAGCACTACCAGATATACAGCCATCATAATCCAATTCACATAGAATACCTTACCAAGAAAAATTTATATTTTCTAAAGAAGAAATTTAATTGATATTCATTGAACATACCATCATATTGTGGTCGACAGTCGCATGAAGCAAGTTGATAATGAGCAGATATTGTAGTTGTTTCCTCGAAATTACATTTATCACTACCATTCGTACATAAACAAGCAAGAATATCCAAATATTGTTCCAATGTAGAATTAGATCCATATTGAATTGTCAATCTAGAATAAATAATAATAATAATAATCAAGTCATTATCTTTTCTGTTTCTTTTATTGACATATTTTGTCAAAAAAAAATCAGCAATTTCTTGAAGTCAAAATTTTGCAAAACTTATTTATTAACGAGAAAACATCTCTGATGAAGTCCCGCTTTTGACGTCATATTTTGCCCATATGTAGGCCTTAGTGAGACTAGAAAAACTCCAAAAGGGTTTGAATTTCTATTGCTTCCTTGTTGAGATATGAAGTTCACATCTTCTCTAACAGAAGTATGACTTATATTGGAATATGATGAAATGTCGATTTTTTCACAATGATATTTCATGCAAGCTAGTGTCAGGTAAAGAAACTTGATATGTGTGGTTAGGAGTTTTTGTCAGAACTAAAAAAGTGTGTCATATATGGCCACTATAAAATGCAGCTCATGCAAAAAAAAACTGTAAGTCTATATTTTATATCGTTGTGAAAAAATCGACATTGCATTGTATTCCAACATAAATCATACTACTGTTAGAGAAGATGTGAACTTCATATCTCAACAAGGAAGCAATAAAAACCCAAACTCTTTTAGGATTTTTCTAGTCTCACTAAGGCCTACATATGGGCAAAATATTACGTCAAAAGCGAAGCTTCATCTAGGAGTGTTCCCTTGTAAGTCTTCAATAGATTTCAAAACAAAAAAAGAAACTAATCAAAAATTTTCCTTTATGCCTACTCATGAAATTATCATGAAATTGTTAGATTTGCTTCTATTTTTCAGACATATGGTGAACTAGAGAATGGAGTTATAAATAAGTTCATCTGAAATTTTTTGTCAGTTGGTTTGTTTTATTTAATTATATAGAAAAATAATCATAATATCAATTTGATTCTATAATTCAACGTAAAATAATTGAAAATAAATGTCGTCAAAAGTTGGCTTCTCTCTTCGATAATAGGTTACTTCTTTAGAATCGTTACTACATGATGAATAAAGACGATCATTATTTTAAGAAAAACGAAATATTAATTTCTCTATAAAAACAAATTGGTGATATTTTCAATGTTTTAGTTATTGACATAAAAGTTCAAATTAGCCTGTTGAACGTTATATATTAGAAAAAAATCTCTTAAATTATTGAATATCTGATAATTCACAATGAATACATCCATGCTTGAATCCTAACGACATACTAGTCAATCTTTTTCATTCGTCTATTGTAAGATTCTTGAACGAATTTAATGACGAATGAAAAACCTATTCCAATGAACTTTTGTGTAATATTATACAAAGTCGAGATAAGCAAAAAAATGATCATGTAAATATTTATTTTTATGATTTTGTCAAAAGAAAGTGCAGTTGAAACGAAGAACATTGATTCATTTAAGAGCAGCTAATTTCAAAGAATTTTTTTCCTATGAATACACAGAACTCTTACAAGTTTTTATGAATTCAGTTACAACATGAAGAAATAGATAAAATTCGAAATAATCCTTTAGATAATAAAAAATACTTACAAAACTTCAACAGAACTAGTTGCATTCCTTGGCATTGGAACTATGATAGACGACGAACCATTATTATTGATATTTTGTATGGTATTAAATGGATAAATAGTGACAAAGGCACTTCTTATAGGTGTTCTATCACCAGGAATAATATTAATTTCCAATGAATAATTACGATTTGTGTTATCAATTGATAATTTGATTCTAACAGGTAAAGTTAAATCGATTGTCGGAGATATTTCAGCTATTTTAAATTAACAAAATGAAGAACATATAAAAATTATTATCTAATGAAAAATTTTACCTAATACAATTCTTGATTCTTGAATTCTTTCTAATCCTAAAGCTGTTGCTTCACCAGTAAAACGATTTATTCGAATGATATAATCATGAATACATTCAAATTGACCATGACATGTTTGATTGACAATATTTGGATTTAAACGTGGATTGAGACTTGTAAGAAGATTTGATGCATTCTTATAATACCATTCTACTAAAGTTCTTGGCATAATAGGTTCTTGATTATTTAACGTTGCATCATTAGGTACTTTCCCTAAAAGAAAAGTTTTCCTATTAAAAGATTTGCTATTTTTTCATTGACACTCACATGAACGACAAGCATTAAGAATAGCTTGATCGTTTTCGAGTACTATTAGATTTGATAAGTTTGTTATTGGAATTATTTGATTTGTTTGTCGATTAAATAGATCATCATTTGGATCTCCATTGAAATTTCCCACTAGACCTTCAATATGTGTTCGAAATTTGTCTGGTAATATTAATCGACATTCAAAATTTTCATCAATAATTTCAAATTGCATTGAAAGACCTATGAATAAGAATAATAAAATATCTCTTTTGTTTTTGTATAAAACAAAGACAAAAAATCAAATCATTTACCAGACCATAGAGAAATGGTCAATTGCGGTATTGTTACATTTAATACAGATCTTGTTGTTTGTTGTACTCGATAAATATATCGTTCTGTATAGTTCATTGTATTTATATAATCATAATTCAAGTTATTTGACAAATCATTTGTAAGTGTTGTATCACTGTTAACAGAAAAACCTTAAACAAATCAATGAATGATTATTTTTTGTTTATTATTAATTTTAAATAATTATTACCAAATTTGCCATTATTATTGCTGATGATAAAAGTAAAATGGAGAGCAATTATAGTATAACTTGAAAAAATTGAACCATAACCCTGTGTTCGTTCAATATAAGACAAAGCTGGTGGAGCGTATACAGAACGAGCATGAATTTGAAATAAATCATCAGGATATATAAGATCAATATTCAATGCATTGCTATTCAAATTATTTTGTGCAACTTGACTAGCTTCAGTGTTCGTTTGAGCGAAGACAAAAAGACCATGTATATGACATGTATATCGACCGTTATCAATTGTATTAACATGTGGATCACCGACACCAGTAACTAGAATAAAGAAACAATAATTATTTATATTCAATAATCTTTATTAAAAACAAGTAACGTTTACCAAAATTCAATTTACGTAATCTTAGACTGATAGGATAGAAACATGCATATAGGTGCATCTAAGTATAAATATGCATTAAATAAGGAACTAGATAAATGTAAGAAGTGATTTGACATATAACAGCAACTCGTTTTACAAAACAAATTTGTTTGTATAATATAAAACTTGATTTTTTTGTGTTTATAAAGAAACACTGATTTTGAACATTTTACACTTATCAAATTAAGTTCAGTTTATGTATGCAATATTATTGGTTTCTCTGCAAAAACTTTGTCAAGTCTTTCGTTTATTGTATTGTTGTGACTATATTTGCTTTTGTTCTTTTATATTGTTCTTAAAATCTTATTTTCAATTTCAAATGATAATTGAGTACAGTGAATAAATTTTTTTAATCATATATTCATATATGTCGAATTTTGAGAATCAATCTATGATATGTAGTCACATATAGTAGTATATTGATTTTAGACATTTTATGCTTGAAGTTTCAATAGTTTATATAAAAAACTTGAAATTGAGAATGATCTGATTTTTCATCGTCCATTTTATTGTATCTTCTTCATGTTTGGAGTAAAACTTGTGTTATATGTATATATATATAACCGATGGACCGAGCATTTTGAGAGAAAATATTTGTTAATTTTTGATTCTCATGAAAGTGTTTTCAAATAGTCAAAAGCTATGGATTAGAACTAGCATATTGTTCACTTTCCAAAGATGGCCTTAGAATTTCTATCTCAGTTTTTGTTCGAGAGTAGTGAGATAATCTTTGAAAGATCTAAAAAACTATATTCTATTGTGACCCAATAGACTTTTGCTACCTCTTTATAGGTATCTTTTCGAAGATTCCAAAAAAGATTGGAATCAGTTGGTTTGTCAATCGGACATTTCTTTACAAAACTTGATATTGAATTAAGCTATGACTTTTATCTAAGTAAAGCTATAGATATTTTACCAACAGCTCTTTTCTATACAAAACGTCTTTTGGTCACAAAGTCGATTTTCAAAAATGAGGATTTAAGAGAAACGAAGATTGAAGTGATCTGTAGAGAAATACAAGAAAACCCAATAGTACATTTTGTTGGGTAGCTTCTGCTGTATCAATTGATATTTTAATAAAGGTGTCAACATTTACTTCTGCGTTGCAATAATGAAAGTATAAAATCGCATGGAAAAATTTTCTGTTCAAGTTATGTTTTTAAGTCTTTGGAAAAATCATCCCATCGGTCTTAAGAAAATTTGTAAGCCTATATTCGGAGAACATACATTTCTGATCATGCCTATAGCTTTTGACTCCTCGGGAACACTTTTAAGGTAGTCAAAAATAAATAAATAAACATTTTGTCTCAAAACTTTCGACCATTCTTTTATATTGGTTTATAAAGATAATATAGAAATCGATACAAATATTTACAATTCCTTATATTAGCGTTATTTCTATGGTAGAAAAAACATCAATGTGACATTATTTAAATCATTTGATTTTAGTTTATCATAATCTTATGCTCAGACTCACTCTCTAACTCTTCATACTTATTACATCATATCATCATATGTAAACCATTGAACAATCGATCGAACCATTCAATAGCTTAATAACAATGATCGTCATTTCTAAAAGTATTCCAGATCGAACAAACCTGCTCCTAAACGATCGTAATACTGAACGATATAATAAACTAAGATACGATCGTATATGGTAAAATATCGGTTGTATAGAATTATTTTACAGTGTATACGGATTTCGTATTCTTCATTTTGGGTCATTATTCTTCGATTAATTTGAACCTTAATGCAATAGTGCCTTTTTTCTGATCCTACGCAGTCATTCGTATCATAGCTACCATATGGTTACTATGTTACAGACAGACAAACAGACGCAGGTAAATTCCCGTTTCTAGATCCTATGCCTTCAGTCTAGGGAAAATATTCAAAAGAGAACTAAAATTAAATATTACCTATAGCTGGAGGTCGATATTGTGTACAACTACTGGCTGGATGAAGTTGAAAATACAGACGACATGTATTCCAATCAGGATGTCCAGTAGTATATGACGGTGAACAACATTGATCACTAAAATCATCTGATCAGTACAATTAGTACAAAAAAAAAACAAACTTACTAGAATGGAATTCGTCTTTGCCAAGGATATGGTAGAAAAAGAATGTGTGGATCTGATAAAACTGAACCGGCAAGACTACCAGAAGTGATTAGTCCTTGATAGAACCCGTTGTAACAACATGTCTAAAATTAGAAATATATTTCTGATCACTTAGTAGATTAAATGATAGAGGTCGATATGTTTAGTCCTAGTTCAGATCTATTGAAAATGGTTCTCTGATCTGAACTGATCTGTTTTAACAATTCAGTTCCTGGAACAGAGCTGTACGAATAATTTTGGTTCGTATTATTGGAAAAGGTGCACCTGGGTACAAAAGATCTTTGCTCTGTTACAGAAACGCCATTGCCAAAACAGAATAAAATTTTTTGGAAAGCTCAGTTCCTATTAAAAGAACTAATTGAACGGATCTGACCATTTAGTCTGATCTGTTCGAACGTTTCTTCTGATAGGATCTGATCTGTTGAAACAGTTCTTTCGCTCATTTGTTTTGAACTTTGAATTGGGATGTCGTTGATCCCTACTATACGATATATCTTCGTACCTGTGACCTGAGTAATTTAAACGTTGAACCAAAATTAACCCAACTAGTTGTTCTTGGTGCATAACAAAAAATATTTTGAGCTGTTTCATATTGAGTCTCACTAAATAAACGAAAAAAACGAGTATCAACTTGTGCTTGTCGAAGTGTACATGGACATGGAAATCGAGGATTTATTCTAAATACAATGAAAATAAACTTCAATTAAAACAAAATATTAACATATACGTTATATCATTTAGATTATCCCAAGGATACAATGCATTTATTCTTGTTTCTCGTAAAAAGCTCACTTCACATTCACTTAAAAAACGACCACCAACATAGAAGCTTATCATTTTTCTTTGTGCTAAAACAATGTTATAGAATTAGAATTAAAAGTTTTTTTTTTTAAGCAGTGAAATCAAATACTAAGAAATGCAGCATTTTGATAAAAAGATTGATCATTTAAAATTTGAATTGGAAAGTTTCTTCCACGATA